ACTTTTCATAGGATTTCCACAAGAAACCTGGCTGTTTCTGGGTTAGTGGAGAGCCACGAGTTGGGGAAGACAAAGGGGAAATAACTAATGTCACTTTTTGCTAGTTGCATTGGCCTTCCTGGATGTTTGCAGCATCTGCCAGATTTGCTCTCTTGCTATTCCTATAGGAGCTCTTCAGACTTGGCAGTCAGTGGAATTTAGTCTGCCTTGTCCTTCCTGGAGTCACAGGGCAAGTTCCTTGGAGAGCAATAGATCCCCAAGCCATCAAGCATTGCATTTATGCATAGTCTGAGGAGACTGCAGGGTTTTGGGTGCCCTCCAAGTCACGAGTGCAGCTGTGTTTGTTAAATCAACACCTGTAAGGCAGCAGCTTAGCACAGACCCTGAGCAACAACAGGCAATTGGCTCTTGTGGGGGTAACTTCTTCCCCTGGGACATGCTTTCCACTGAAATTCATTAGATGAATGGAAAATATAATGCTCTGAGCATCCTATTAGGGACAGCTGTGTGCACAAACAAATAATAACTGCTTGTGGGTGTGTGTGTGTTTGTATGGGCACAAGAACATGCACATATATAATGTTTACAGGCATTGTATGGGCAAACAAACAGTGAGTGTATGTGTGTGGAACTTGCTTCCAGCCATGAAGTGCATCAGTTAATGTGGCTAATTAAAAAGGCTCTGGAACACAGGTTACTTATTACTGCCAAAACTTAAGGCTTAATTTTGAAATTACTTTTTTCTTCTGTAGGATATTTCAAGGCCACGGCCACCCCAGAGAGCTCTGCCAGCAAACCCCATCCCATCCCGGTCCAGAGGCTGGCAGGGGAGCAGCCCTGCTGTGCCACTGCCCCCTGGGCACAGCAGAGCCCCTGGGCACCTCCAGCCTGTGGCACAGGTAGGCACTGGGAGGGCTGGTGGGAAACCCTGGAATTCACCCCTGGGGAATAAAAACACTGAAGGGAATATCAGCCTGCAGAACACCTTAGTGCACAGCCCAGGTGGGGGACACAGAGAGGCTGTGGGTTGGTCACCTTTATTGCAGGGGTCTCTGGTTTTACCTGTTTCACATTAAGAATTCAGGGAGTTGAGCAAAACAGTGAATTCATTCCTCCACAGCCCTGAACACTTCCTCAGGCAAAGCATTTGTGTGAGTGGGGCAGAGCAGCAGGGTCAAGGGCTGTGGGACCCAGAAGTGTTAGTGAAGAACAGCAAAACATGAAGATTCACACAAGACTTGAAGATTCCAGTAAAGAACAAAAATTCTTTCCAGCCTCTCTAGCTGTGGCTAAGGAGATGCATTCTCTGCAAGGAGTGTTTCACAAAAATCATCCTGAATACAGGACTTCATAAGGGACTTCTAGGCACTGAGTTCAGTGCTCTGGGAACACAAAACATCTCCACACAGCACAGTTAGGTGTCTCCAGCCTGCACTATGCTGTGAAAAATGGAGAAACTGCAGGAACCTCCTTGTGGGAGATGCATTCCTGTGTAATGCACTGGGCTGTGAATGCAGACAGGCTAACATCAGCTCCAGGAGAAGACAAGGACAGTGCTTGTTCTTCCATCAGTGCTCACTCCTCTTCTTTCCCCCCTTTTCCATCTCACCCAGGGTGCTGGTGCCTGGAGAGCTGGAGCAGTGAACAACCTGCACGTGGGACAGTCAGGCTCCCGTGGGCATTCCTGAGGCAGCCTGTGCCTGGCCTTCATCACCAAAAACACTCTCACACCTTCACTGCCACGGACAGTGCCTCAGCTCCCCTCCTCCTGCCCCAGCCCTGCTCCCCCTGTGACTCACCAGGCATGGCAGGGGTGCCCCAGGTACACGCCAGGCTCAGCTGGGCCCTCTCTGCCTTTTCCACGTAGGGATGACTCGTTTGTACGGTATTTAAATATTGTTGTGCAATATCCACTGCAGGGATGGGGGTTGATGGGGGTTTCCACGTGTTTTTAATCATTTATTTAAGTATTACCAGGGAGAAAAAGCTGTAAGTGCAGGTGCTGGCCTTGATGGGCTTTCATGTGGGCCCTGTTGGCTTCCTCAGCCCCCTCAGGCAGCTGCAGGAGCATATTGGTGCTATACAGAACCCACTGCCTCTGGGGAGAGCAGCTGGTGATAACATTCTTCAGTTTATTCTCTGTTTACAGGGGGTGGCAAGTGGGGCCCCAACAGGGAGCCAACTGTGGAACTATAATTTGTGGGGCCACTGTGGATTTTGGTCAGCTTCAGCAGAGGGGATTATTTTTTATTTCATGATTTTCCCCACGTAACACTCTTCAGCAGGAACATTGCAACCACTCGCTTGTCTTGCCCTGGTGCTGTAGATCCCCAAAGCAGCCCCAGCAGGGCCCGTGAGCTCCATCCAGGTCATCAGGACACACTGAAGGTACGACAGGGCCCCTCTGGCCCAGGTGCAGAGCAGAAGGCAGTGCTGAGGCCCCTCTGCAGCGTGCGGTACCGGCAGCAGGAGATGTTTCTGCACTGAGCTGTAACTCAGCATGGGCTGTCTGCTCCCCAAACCACTGAGAAACCTACCTGGAAAATGCCCAGGTGGTGAAGCAGCTGAACTATTAACACAACACATGGTGCTTTTGTAGGGCAGCTCTCTTACTCCAGGCTTTTCTTCCAGGCCATGGATGGAGAGAGCTGTCTGTGTGCACTTTAAGCAGCTGATGGTTCTGACCCTGAGGACCCTCCCTTATGAGTTTAGTTTTTTTCTTCTCATAATAGTTTGGCTTTTGTATGTGTTTTTTGGAATTTTTTTCCTCAGGATTTTAAAATAAGACCTTCTGTTGTGCCAGATTTTTTTTTTTCCTTGAAATTATTTCCTAGGAGAACACAGGGAAATCTGGAGCTGCAGTTACAACAGTCCTCTTGTGTCTGATTTATTATGGACAAATCCTCAAAGAGCATGACTGCTGCTCCACATGTAAGAAACTGCATTATTGGCATAAAGAAAATGAGTCTTGTTTGCTGGTTCTCATTCCCTAAGATCTACTCATTAAAGAAATCCCAGATAAACCCCAATTTAATAAACATTAAATTTGTAGTTATATGTAGTAGTGTATGTGTAGGATGACTTAAGTCACACTAGTTTTCACAACTTTACTACCTCTTTCTCCACAAGGAAACAGTTCACATGGTGTGTCTTGAAATTCTCACAGATTATTCCTCATCTTACCAATTTTAGACCTTTTCTTACCTTCTATGTGCCTGGAAAACAAACCAATCTAAAAAACTTCTTTCTGAAATAAGAGAGGGCAAGTAAAAGACAACAGCTCTCTAATCTTTGTCTTTTTCAATATTTAGGGTATATTACACATAAAAATGTGTATTCTAACAATCCCCAAACTTGTTTCTTGGTATGTAATGGCAGGTTTGGCTGCTCACAGTGCAGCAGGGCTGTACAAACTCTGTAATTGTTGATTCAACCACAAGAACTTGATCTCACAGCTGAACCCTCACTGAGGGCAGCAGCACTCCTGCTCCAACCCTTGATCTTCAGCAAATGACCACTAAAAGTCACTAAAATTATTTTCACTGAATTTCATGTGAGCATGGGTTCAAGGTTTCAAAAAATGCCCCCAGACACACAATGCTCAGAGAACAACTGGACATGCCCAAACTCTAGTAGAAAACTTTATTGCTGGAATATCACAAAAATCTCCAAAAGGTAGTTTTAGAGTCCTATTAAATTTTCAGATGTGTGCAAGTTGAGTGATTGAGACCAGGGGAACTGCAGGAGGAGTAAAAGATGTTAAACCTGATTTTTTGAAAGATAATATTACTTGGGAGAACTTATAACAAATACATCTCACTTTCTTCTATGTCCTCATGTTAACGGTTTACAACAATGCTCTCTATGCATCTATGCAAATACTTGAAGAATGCCATTCATTGTGCCTTTTGCCTAGTTTTAATAAAATTTGTTGGTTGTCATTAACAAATACTCTTTCACTGTCTATTATTTCATGACCTCAGTTCAAATCTTCATTTTCTACATGGCATTTCTCCAGGGATGGCAGGATTGCTTTAATGAAATGTACTTCTGGAGTGAAGACAGATGAGTCCCATTTACAGCCATTTTCTAAAATAAAATGCATCAAGCATCACACTGATTAGGATGCCAAAACCAAAGCTGGAGTGAGTGACTTGGATTATTTTCTGCCACCAAAGGAGGTCGCTGCAGTTTTACTCTGCTCCAGATGCTTTTTCTGTTGTTCTCAGCTGTCCCTCAGCCTCTTTATCCTTTAGGGCTACACTAGTAACATGAAATAATGAAAAACTTTCAGATAGACCTGCAACTTTTCTTTTATTTTGAAAAAACCCTTTATTTCCCTTTCCACATTCCAAAAAGATAGCACTGAAATGTTATTAAAATAGGAGATTGGATCATATTCTCTCCCAAAGCCCCACAATATATTTACTCAGTGATGCTCACACCCAGGTATAATCAGGTGAGCATCTCAGACGACAGCAGGACACCTCATGGGGCTCAAAGAATTTGGGGGGGGGTTTCAAGCTCAAGATATTTCCTGAGGGAAAAAATACTTTGTATTTACAGCCACTTGGTCTTTCAGACTGAAAAAATTGTCACAAGAAGTCTTGGAGTCGGTGGTAGAGTTTCTCTTGACATGGGGTTTTAACCCTGCCAGAGCTCACCAGCCTGAGCAGGAATTGCCCTTCCTCAGGTGGGGTCTGGGTCAGTCCCAGCAACTTCACCAAGGCCTGGACACCAGAGCTGCTCTGGGAAAAAAAAAACAAACCCAAACAAATAAAAATAATTAACACTGCTTCAGGGAAACTCCTGCACCTCACAAAAATAACCAAAAGCTGAAAAAGATCTCTCTGTGAAAACACTTCATGGCTTCAGTCCTGCCCCTGAGCCTGAGTGAGCAGCTTTTGCAAAATTCACCGTGTTTTGCCCATATTCACCAATATTCTTGTCCCCCTGTTTGCAGAGCAGGTGATTAAACATGGATGAGCAGAGTCTGAGCAGCACTGATCAGTCCTTGTCTCTCACCTCCTCTCCAGACGCTGGTGTGGATTTTAGAGTTCATGCAAGTGCCTAGAAAGGAAACAAAAAAAGACAAAAAGCACTAATCAATGATCCATCAAGGCCTGGAAACAAAGACATCAATGGCCACCCGGGGGAAGGAGAGAAGGGTAAACATCAGTCCTGCCAAGAATAAGAGAGGGAAGGGGCCTCAGAGAGGAGCTTTGTTACAGCACTATCATATTTCTAGAGGATTTTTGTCTCCAGTGGCTGCATGTATTAGGGCCCAGAGAGGATTAAACACTCCCCTTGCTGCCACATCATGACAGAGATCCCGTCCAAAAGTCTGGAGAAAGATTTGACTTTGGAAAAGACACTGTTTATTTTATTTTCTGCTTTTCCTTTTTGAATTTTTCCCCTGGCATCTGGAATATTGACATCACCCAACCTCCAGTCCCCTGCATGTCACCCCCTAAGTGCAGAGCATGAATACTTTGGGTTTGTCCTCTGGGGCAATGCTGGAGTTGTCCACCTCTATCAGGATGTTCTTGTCATCTCTGGTGACCGGCGCTGGCTCTTCGTTCTGAAGGACTTGGGGTAAATTCCCAAAACTGACGTCCATGTCTTTGAAAGCATGGAGTAAAAACACCCCCAAAATGATGGTGAGGAAGCCACAGACTGTCCCAATGATGTCAACCACAGTCATGGTGACCCACTCCTTAAAGAGGATGATGGAAGTGGTGATGACGATGGTGGTGAACAGCACATAGTAGATGGGGAACACCAAAGAGGTGTTGAAAATGTCCAGAGACTTGTTGAGGTAGTTGATCTGTGTGGTGATGGATGCCACCAGCGTGATGACCAGGATCCAGGTCAGTGGGTTCTGTAGCACAGGCTGGCCAGCAAAGAAGCCCTTGATGGCAATTCCCAAGCCCTTGACGGAGGACACGGAGAAGGCGCCGATAACGGAGCAGATGGCGAGGTAGATGAGGATGTTGCTCTGGCCGTAACGGGGGGCGAGGTAGAAGATCAGGAGGAAGCAGAGAGCCAGGAGGATTGCAGCATAAGCCAGAAAACCTGCAGGAGGGAGAGAAGAACTCAAAACTCCAGCAGAGGGCATGACGAGAGGTTTGCACTGCCTGGCCACGAGAGGGAAAGCGAGGCTGGCTGCGTACCCGGCTCCTTCAGCTTGGAAGTCATTTCCTCCAGAGTGGTGACCTCCTCGTCCTCTGGGGCGTGTATGACCATCACAGTGCTGCCCACCAGGCTCAGCAGGCAGCCCAGCTTTCCCAGCAGGTTGAGCCGTTCTCCGAGCAAATATGATGACAGAATGGCACTGCATGGGACAGAAAAACATCAGCCGGACAGAAAAACATCACCCGGTGCTCTGCACTCCTTTAAAGAAGGAGCAGCAGCTCTAGGAAAGTTAAGAATGCTTCCATGTGATACAAGGACACAATTTTGGTGTAAATTAGTTGGATTCCAGTGGGTTAATGCACAATCCCAGCTGAACCTGCAGAGGTGCAGGTGTGACCTGTGGATCACAGCTCTTGTGTCAGCAAGGTGCAAAAACGCTGAATGTTTTAGCACATCCTCAGAAATATTTTTTCAGGGTCGGCAGAATTATTCAGGAGCTGCTGAGCATTATGAAGCTTTTAGTGCTCAAGAAAATTACTTCAAGGGCCAGTGTAACAGAGAAAAAACCTGAACCTAACAACAAAAAAGCTATGTTAATTTTAACTTAATTATGAGAGTCATTAGAAAGAGAAACAGAGAAACTCTGAAAGTACTGGGGCTACAGATATATCTACAAAAATATCTAGTTGTTGTCCAAAAGAAATCTGGGACAAGACACCAGAGCAGTCCTAACTCTCAGTTTGCTTATGCATTTCACAATACAGTCTTTCTATAAAACCTTAAGTAGCTTAATGTATTTTGGTGGAACTTCCTATTTAAAAATAAGAAAATTAAATAGGGTTTCAGCCCTTTTGGGAACAGCCAGAAATATAAAACCCTGCAACATGAGAGGACCCTAAAAGATTATAAAATAAAAGGCAGGTGAAAGGCAATTGGAAAACAAGTCTGGTATTTTTGACCCCTTTAAATGTTTAGTACTCTTGATTGCAAAAACAAAACAAACCAACCAACCAAACAAACATTAAAACCCCACCAATCCTGAGTGGTTAAAGAGCTGGAATAAGGAATGAAGTAATGCAGATATTTGCAATAATTTAACCTGCAGTGTATGTGGTTGCTCTACACATCCAGCATTTCCAGATGGGCAAGCTGCTTAATTCAATGGTTCCCAAGTGATCCCTCAAAAGGACAACAAGTGTTAAAGTGTTTTTTAGAAAACACTAAGACTTTTTTTATTTTGGGCAAAATAAATCATAAATCATTAGTATCCCTTCAAGTCTATTTTTACAAGTCAAACAGGCAAACAAGAAAAAAAAAAAGGCAAATTTCAATTTATAGACACAAAAATCACCTTATGAGCACGCTCAGAGCCCCCAGAGGCGTGACAATAGTTGCAGGAGCAAAGGCATAGGCAGCAAAGTTGGCAGCTTCCCCTCCACCCACTAAACAAACACAAGAAAAATAAATACCAGTGAGTTACAGAGCACTTTCTGCATTTTCCCTTGGGGGTTTGCAAACCAGCAAGATGTCACTTGGAGAGTGGGTTTTATTCTGGGGGCTTCATCCTGCTGCTAAACAGGGGCAGGTAGTGGGTGACAATCTATTTCTAATTAAAAAAGGTACCTCTGGAGAGGGAACCCCTCCATGGGAAGGGCAGGGGGTGCCAGGGCTTGGCCAGGTCAGGGCTCAGGAACCCCCAGCCCAGCCAGGCTGTGTGGGGGTACAAGGGAGGGGTGGTAAGGACAGCTCCACACCTGTCCTTGGGGCTGTGGTGTCCCCTCTGGCTGTCCCTGTCCCTGAGCAGCGAGGACAGAGCCAGGCGGGGGCACCTTGAGAGTGAGAGGCAGAAAAGAGGGCTCTGAAACAGCCTCTCATAAAATCTGCTGCTCTCCCTGCAGCTTCGAGTCCAATTTTAGGATATACTGTAAAGCTTTGAGTTCAATTTTAGGAGATACAAAGAGGAAATGCAGATTTTAAGGGAAAACAAGTTTTTTCAAGGAAGGAGGTGCTGGCAATACCTCTTTGTTATCTCCCTGTGCTGCAGCAGGAAACTCCAGCGCCCTGCTCCCCCAGGCACTCAGGGGAGGCTGTTTGCCCTGTGCCTGGTACACAGGCAGACCTGCCAGCTGCCCTATTAAAACCTGGCTTTCCATGCTTTTGATCAGGTACAACTGAGCCAGCAGGTCCTGCCAGTCCTGCAGGAGGATGGGAGAGGGAGATCCTGCAGGGATCACTGCCTCTCCTCTGCCTGAGGAACCTCTGCTGAGGATGGGGGAACTCAGCAGAAAACAGGCTTTAAACACCATGCTCAGTTTGTTCCACACCTCGTTCACAGGGACAGAGCCTGGAAAAGCTGCAAACCCAGGGAAACAGCTCCTACTTACTGGTTAACAAGCCAGCCCACCAGAGCCAGTCCTTTAGGTAGCCATGGCCTCCATCTCCTGGGGAAGAAAATGCAGGAGTTAACAACCACATTCTTCAGAGCAAGAGATGAGAATGTCCCTTTGGAGAGGGATAAATTGCAAGGGGAAGAGTGTGACAAAGAACAGGGAAGAATAGACTGGAGCTAATTGGAGCTAATCCAATTCTGGTCCTAACCCACAGTTTGTTGGACACGAGGAGTTTGAGCCTGCTGACATGGTGAGCCCTGGTTTTGCTGGGTCAGGGAGAGCCCATGCTTTTGATAAATCAAATTCTGGTCCTAACCCACAGGCTGCTGGACACAAGGAATTTGATCTTGCTGACATGGTGAGCCCTGGTTTTGCTGGGTCAGGGAGAGCTCATGATTTTTATAAATCTGACCCAACTGGAGCTGTCAGTACCAGCAGTGTTTGACCTGCCTTGGAGAAAAGTGATGTGCTCACATAGCAGGGGTGACACACTGGCACTGAGAGATTACAAGGGCAAGATAGGACAAGGGCAATGAAGAGTTGAACAGGAAGACTTCAGGACACAGGGAAAAATATTTTGCTAGAGTTCAGCCTCTTCTGGTTCCTCAACCACTCCATAAATGATGAAGTTCAAATGTTATGCTCTGGTATTCCTCAGAAATTGCTGGTTTATTTGTTTTAGGGTCTTTTTGCTTGGTTGGGTTTTTTCCCAAGAACTCTTTCTGTCAGCTGCAATTTTCTGTCATTAATCTCCAATTCCTCTCAGAACGTTAAACGTTCTGAAAAACGAGGAGGGGTTTGCTCTTGTTTTACTCACATGGCGCTGCTGTGGCAAGAGTTCATGGAGGGAAGGAGGAGAGAGACATCTACAGTTGAAGCAATACTGATATTTCATTGTGCAAGTATAATGTCAAAAAGCAAACCCATCTGTGTTCAGCAGCTGTGTGTTCAGCCCAGTGACAGAGGATGGAGATGGTCCTGAGACTACTCAGTGATTCAGCTGCTGTTGGCAGCTTTGCTGGTTGTTTCTGGACAGTCACTTCATCATTCCATGCCTCTGTGTCCCCATATGGGCACAAAGTACAATGGGGATGGTGATATTTATTTAATCTGAAAGATTATTTAAGAACTGTTCCTAGGCCAGAACAGGGAAGCAGCAGTAATTTAATTATCATTGCTCTGTTTTGCAGTTATGCAAGTAGGTCAGCTGCCAGGTAGGACTTACCCTGCTGCTGGAGCATGTTTGCAATGCTGATGGGATGTGTCCAATTCCACAGTGCAATTCTGCTCCAGGCAGTGCTGCTCCACCATATATATGTGTGTGTGTGTGTGTGTACACATAAACACTCGCCTCGCCCTGAGAGTCTGGTGCTAGAGGAAAGTTATCTGCAGCTTGTTGTGCAACAGAGCTCCAAAGGATCCCTCCTGCAACCACAGAGCTCCCACAGAGCCTGTCTGTCCTGCCTTCACACACTCCTGCAATCCAAGCAACCCAAGCACGCGGAGCTGCGTACGAGTCTCGGTGCCAAAGCTGCCTTTGGTGCTTCACTGAGAGCAAGAGTGGGGTCGGGGCTGTGCTGCTCTGCTCTGGGCTGGGGCATGGCTGTGAGCTGCAGCTTTGTGCAAAGGGACCCTTTTCAGAGAGCTTTTGGCACTCTGCTTGCTCCTGGCCTGAGCGATGGCACGCACTGCTCTGCCATGGGGACACCTCTGATCTCACAGGACCATCCCTTGCTGTTTGTGGTGCCAGGCAGAAGAACACTGCTTTTAGCCAAGCTCCTCCAGCGCAGGGCTCTGTAAATTAGCTCCTTTCCAATACACAGACTGTAAATTAACTCCTTTCCAATACCAGGGCTGTAAATTAGCTCCTCAGCTCCCACATAGCACTGCTGTCTGGCTCTCACACACAGAGATGCCTCCACAAAAGCTCCTATTTACATTGCTGATGGAAGACTGACTGTACCCAGAGGTGCCCCCTTGCCTCATGAGTGCTGAAATTTGGAGTGTGTGTGTAGTCCTAGGAACAGGTGGTCCCTCCTGCCCCCATGGAAGCCTTACCTGCCCTGGTGCCTCCCTTCTCCACCAGCCTTAGCAGCCCCTTTTTCTTGAGGATGACGCTGCTCCCGATGAGGAAGCTGGAGAAGACAGCCAAGCCCAGGCCAATGTAGAATCCATAGTTGTTTTCCAGCCGAGTTATCCAGGAGCTGTCTGAAGTGCCATTGTCCTGGATGGACTCAGCTGGGACAGCACTGCTGATCACTTGGCACACAGCCCGGTGGGAAAGGCACGAAAGGGTGATCAGAGACCCTTGGAGATACAACAGCAAATTACTGACATGACTACCAACAGTGTCCCTCCTCCCCTAGGCTCATCCAGGTGTCCCCCTGCACAGCCACCCATGCTGTCACCCTAACAGCACCCAAAGCTCAGGACACCTCTTTACTCACACGTGGAAAGGAAATGGCAGGGTGTTGTCTGACAGATTTATGGCCTGCAGTTCAAGCTTCTCTTTGACACTGGATGAATCTAGAAGGACCTCTAAAAATAATTTGAATTTCCAAATATATAAGCCAGAGTCTCTCCACCAAATTCCAATGTTATAGAGTTAAACTAGGCCTTATCCACACTTAACCTTGTTGATCCAAAGGCTTTGCTGCTTTCCAGCCAACTAATCCTCACACCTGCCAGCTCATCTGCAGTTGTAACTTTGGGTTTAATGTGGAGAGATGCCAACACTGTAAATGTGCCTCTGTTCCTACTCTGTGTGCTGAGCTGTGTCATAAGACGACATCAGGTTCATCTTGGACAATTAATTTCCTCAATGGTTGTATTCTACCTATTTGCAGGTTCCCTGAGAGCTCGTAAAGCAAACCCAGTCCTGCCAGTGTGGAAGGATGAGAGCAGGCAGTGTTCTGCTGCTAACACCAAAGCACTGCAGCCCTGTGGCCCTGGCCAAGGTGTGCTGGTGTGTGGGGGCGGGAAATTGCTGAGTTTCTTCCTCCCCTGACACTCCTACCACACCCAGCACATCTTTCTATTGCAATCTTCACTCCAAGTGTAGTGACTGTGACCATGAGCAACAGAGCAGCCAGGTGGAGAACAAAAGTCTCTTTGTAGTAAAAGACTTCAATTTTTTTTTTTTCCCCTGAACTCACATAGGAATTATAGAGCAAGTATTTGTGTCTCTGCAGGCAGAAGTGTGGAATGGCTAAACTGCTCCCAGCAGTGTCAGGAGCCTGGGCATGGGCCCCACATTTTTCCTGAACCAGGAGCCTGGCTTAGATCTTAAGTAGCTGCAATCCCTGGCCCTGGAACACACAGCTGAGGTTTAGGATTTGGCTATAAACGTTTTTCTAAAGGAAAAAATAGCAGTGACTTTCTAGATGAGTTTCCAAGGGTTCCCTAATAATACTTTTTTTCCTACTAGGAAAAACATTTTTTATCGTGGAAGTATTTCCTGGGGAATAAGGGGGGGAACTTGCCTCCTGGGCTGGGTAAAAATCTCCACAAGGTACAAGCACAAAGCAGCGGGATGAGAGGCGATTACCGACTGGATTAAGTAATCCTTAAAGGAAAAAAAAAAACCCCAACTCCTGCCTTCTCCGTGCACTCAGAGCTGGCAGAGCGTGGTGCCGGCTGCTCGAGTTTCCCCATTCCTACACAGACGTCAAAAAAAAAAAAAAAAAAAAAAAAAAAAAAAAAAAAAAAAAGAGAGAGAGAGAGAGAGAGAAAGAAAGAAAAGAAAGAGAAGAAAGAACCACCCAAAGCAGAGCATAGCCCCAAAGCCGGTGGGATGAATGAGGCCGAGGGGTTCGGCGGGCTCGGAGCCGGAGCGGCCGCGCTGTCCCGGACCCGGAGACGGACCCAGCCCGGTCCTGGCCCGGTCCCGGCGCTCCGAGCGGGGCCGAGCCGAGCCGGTCCCGCTGCCCCGGGGCTGCACCCACCGTTGCTGCAGCTGCTGTTCGTCTCCAGCGGCTCCATTGCCTTCGTTCTCCGGCCGCTCAGCGCATCCCGGGCCGAGGGCAGGGCCGGGCACACCTGAGCCCGCCCCGCTCCTCCCCCGGCGCGCCCGGCACGGCACGGCCCGGCACGGCACGGCCCGGCACGGCACGGCCCGGCACGGCCCCTCGCTGCGCTGGGAGCGCTCACAGTGCCCTGGGGAGCCTTGCACGGTCCTCTGGGCCAGCCCCGCATCCCCAGCCCTTGTCCCCATCCTCCCAGTTCTTGTCCCCATCCTCTCAGCCCTTGTCCCCATCCCCGTCCCCGCCTGCCCGGTCGGTACGGTGGCACCTCCACGAGGTTCTGTCCCTTGGCACAGAGCCGGGACCAGGCTCCTGCCGCTGGGTTTCTCCTTTGGAAGGTGTTTTCCTCTTTACAGAGACTGGAGAAGGCGCTGGGGCAGCAGGAGGTGGCTCGGAGGTGTGTGAGTGAGCCCAGGTGTGCCCAAAGCCGGGGGCTGAACACAGGTGTGGTGGAAATAGAAATTAAAGGAAAACGAGAGAAATGTAGGTGGCAATGTCAGGTTAATGGTTGGACTCGAGCTTAGAGGTGTTTTTCAGCCTTTTGGGCTGAAAAATATAGGAAGGATATAAAGTTGTTGGGGAACACCCAAAGGAGGGCCACGGAGATTGTGAAGGTCTGGAGGAGAAGCCATGTGAAGAGCAAGGGAGGTCACTTGGTTTGTTCAGACTGGAGAAGAGGAACCTCCATCAGCTCCCCCTCCCAGGGCAGCTGAAGCCTCCCTTGCTGATTCTGGTGTGTGAATGGTTCAGAGTGTGAGGAACACCAGTTTTGCCTTCATCGTCACCCTCCTCTGCCAACCCCCCTTGTTCTGCCTTCATCCCCACCCTCCTCTGCCGACCTCCCTTCCTGCATTTGTGCTCTGTGTGTACACAGAAACCTATTGCTGATAGAAAAGTCCTTTCGTTTCCAGGCTCTGCTGTAGGTCAACAGAGGTAAATAAAACCAATAGTGAAACAAAGCTTTGCTTCAGCAAACCCACATTTATAGGTAGAAAGGGTTCCTGTCATAAGGCAATATAAAGATATAAGATTTGCAGGAATTGAACACGTCTGAAAAATTGCCTTTTTTTCCCCCCCTCCATAAAATAAATTGCCTGTTACTACAGGAATTGCCCTTAGACTATCAGGCTGCAGCATTGCTAATACCTCATGACGCCTTCATTCAGTGCCTGATCCTATCTCTGAGCAACTGTTTTCTCCAGCAAAGAGAAATGTAATGCTCAAGTGCTTTGTGAGTCATTTGATTTTAATCAAGTCTGTTCATCCATCACAGTCCTGTGGGTCACTGGCTGGGAGAGACTGTGCCAGCCAAATCCCACGTCCTCCCCTTTATGACAGGACACTTGATAATCAATCCAAATCACATGGCAGCAGGTTTTGAAGTAGGAAATGAAACTTGTGCTAATTTATCAGTGTTCCTGGAGCAACCTCTGCTGCTGTTATTTATTATGCAACCAAAAGGGACAAGACCCTGGGCAGGATAATGATGGTGGGATTTGGCCTCTGTTGTGTAAATTTACTGGCTGATGCTGGTTAGGAGCTATTCATGCAATGGGTGAATACAGGGCTGGTTGCAGAGAAAGAGTGTGATGGTGAAGAGGGACAAGTATTTGCTGTTTGCAGTGCTGGCTGGGGGAGTTCGTGTCCCCTGTCCCCTCACAGGCTGCTCTGCCTGCTCACTCTGGTGCTTGGGGCTCTCCCCTTTGCTGGACCTTTTCCAACACACTGAGATCTTGCTCATAGCCAAGGAGGCCTAATTGTGATGTAGTTATTGGCAGTTACACTGTGTCCAAAATAATTTCCAAGCTTTTTCAGATGAGTGTTGTTGACATCTGTTCTCACTGAGCACAAAGGGGTATGAAGGAGGCAGAAAATTTTTATGGAAAGGATCTGGGGTTAAAATAATCCTTTTGGTCATGGTGCAGCTTCATCTATGGTGCAGGCAAAAGAAAAAGGCACTTTGGACCACATCTTTACCTTGTCCTGTCAGCTTGATTTCCTAAAGGGAAAGGCTGATGTGACCACATACATGTATGTTTATGTATTCCTTTTCATCCCCAAAGATAAATTTGAGTCTGTGGGCCACTTCTGCCGGATTTGACAAGGGGTGAGACCTCCAAGAGAAGATATTCTAAATCCTGAGAAGGGAGATGAGATGAGCAAAATGTCCCCAAAAGGAGGGGACACTGCAGTGTGAGCTGGCTCTATCAGACACTGGGGAGGGAGCGTGCCTGGGTGCCAACATTGAGGTGGGAGAAGCTTCAGTGAGATTTTGAAATCAGCCATGGACCAAAGTGTGTCACGTATTTCCTCATTCCTGGCACAGGGACTGCGGGGGGTGCAGGCTGTGGAATCACGAAGTCACAGGAGTTGCATTTGAAGGATTTAGCAAGGCTGGGTACAGCAATATGGGAGTAAAGAGCCAGGTAGGGTTGGCACGGAGCCTTCTGTGCTTAGTCAAGGGCAAGTTGAGACTGATAACAATAAAGCAGGGATGCAGCCAATGCCTCTTTTATTGCTTCATATCCTAGTTTTAATGGGAAGGCTGTAATTAAGGGAATTTAGCTCCAAGCTATGACCTCACGGGTTGATACTCACATCAGATGCTGCCTTAAAAATAACTCATCAGAAATCAGGGAGTCTTCCATAGCAGCTCATCTTTTAGCAATGCAGTTCCTCCTGAAATACTGGTTTGCAGGCCAAAACCTTGACTGGAATCTGGGGGGCAGAACAAGGCAGCTTTGCATGCAAATAACCTCTCCAGCAACATCAAAAGGCTGTTCTTACCTCTGCTCCTGTCTGCTCATCTCTTGTTCTGGAAAAAGTGATGGAAAACTACTGTTTTACTGAGTACCAACTGTCCTCTGTTAAAAATAATGGTGGAAGTATCCTGCTAACAGGTGATGGAAACTTTTGCCCTTGGATGTCTGCTAGGCATGGTTTCTGTGGAAAGTTTCTGAACAGTTTTGTAATTTTTTGCTCTGGCTTTGTATTGTTTTAGAGATCCAAGGAACTGTTTGCTGCTTCAAAGAGAGGGTGAACCCTTCTTCTGGCAATGATTTGATAAGGCAGGGGTTAAGGGAATTGCCTGGTGTTGGATGATTGCAGCACTACATGAAAGGGTGCCCGAAGTTTGAAAGATTGAACTTTGATGAGCAGACAGCTTTTAATTCAGCCTATCTCAAGGTAACCATATCTGCAGTGGCTGAGGCTGTCATCTGGTGCCACCAGAGTTTAGACAGCACCAACAGAGACAGCTCCCAAGCCTGCCACAGCCATGGTGGGCTCCAACCCTTGCAGTTCTGCCCTCCCCATGCCAGTGCACACACCTGTGGCTCTGAGCTGAGTGCTCCAGGGTCATGGGGCCATAAAATACATCCCAGCTCCTTTCTCCCAGGGTTGCTAAACAATTTATCCAGGTCACTGTGGCCCCACAAAGCCACATGTTGGCAGAGCAGGAGCGGTGGGCTGGTGATGGACAGCGGTGGGTGAAGTGACACGCAATCAGCAGATCTTTGTTTGCAGACTTCTTATCTGGAGGCGTTTGCATCAGAACTCTAAATCAAGCAAAGCTGCATGTGAAAGGCACTCCTGACTTGCAGAGGGGGTCACAGAAAGGGTAATTTTGTTAAGCTATTGAAATAATAAAGCAATCATTAATGAGCAGTTCTCTCCATTGGGGAAGCAGACTTTTATCTGGAGATGTAAACATATTTAGGAGCATTAGGAAGAAGAAAGATGGGGGCCTGTATCTGATACTGCTCCCTTAGGGCTGGTTGTTCGAAATTCAGAGCCTTGGACCCTGATACTCAAAGCAGGAATTGCTGCTGGCTCCAGTGAGACCATGTGAGCTCTCAGCACTGGGTGAGAACTGGGGTGTCCATGACGCAGCAGCTAAAATTAGTTAAAAAAAAAGAGAAAAAAAATAGAGAAATCTTGATGGGAGAAAGGATAAAACCCAAACCACCTGCCCAGTATCAGTGGCTGATGCAGGAATAAAGTCCTGCTCTCCTCTCTGCCATTCCCTGTAACAGAACCATGTTGAAATCAGTAAATATTGGGCAACTTTGAACAATCAAACAGTCCTGCCCAGCAGGGTATCACCCAGAGAGCTGCAGCAGAGCCTCAGAGCTCATTGGAAAGATCAACAGAGCTGCCTGGTTATGGTGTAAAGTTCACCTCCAATTCTATGTGAAGAATCATTGCATTTCTGCTCCTCTCAAGCTGGGAAGCTGCTCCCATGGGGAAACCTTGGGAAGAAGCTGTGAAAGGGAACATCAGTTAGAGTTTGGTGAGCACAGGAGTCCAACTCCCACAGACCCACGTCAGTTGTTTCTCCCTCATTCCTCAGCTCCCAGATCTTTCCCCCTTGGTTCCCACTTCTCTTCTGCAGTCAACAACCATGGCTGCTCCTTGGGTGCTTTCAACACAAAACTAAGAATGGTTTCAAATGGAAATTTGGGAAAATAACAGCAAGGAGAATCTCCTGGAATAAAAAAAGGCCCCTGTAGAGTTGACAAGGCTGCAGTAATGAGAGGAAATGAGCTCCTCAGTTTAGCTTTGGATAGAGCCTGTCAAAATCTGTTAAAAATGATTATACGATTTTCCCTTCCCTGACCCTTTTATCCTAGAACAAGTTTTGAAATGAAAATTGTGTTGTGCAAAGAAGTCCTTCTCAAAAATAATTAACTTTTTTCTAGGAAAATATGTCCATTTTGGTGTTGGCCACAAAGCCTTATTTTTTCCTTTGGTTTTTACAAAAGCTTAACACTTTTAGCAAATTGGCTTTTCTTTTGTGCAAGGTACAACTGAAAGCTCTTCCCCGATAACAGTTATCACAATGATGATGATAACACCATAAGGTAAATTCTGCCCATTTCATGAATGAGCCCAATTTTTATTTCTCTTCATCACAAAAGTCATCCCACATTTGTTGTACACATTGTTGGTTGCTGTGTT